TCACAATTTGAGTTGAATTACTGAAATAAATGAACTTTTCCATGACATTCTAATTTATTGAGATGCACCTGTATAGCATTTGTATTTGCCGGGGCGTCGCTAGGAATTCTGGGCCTTGTGCACTAAATTTGCTATGGGGCCCCCTCAAAATCGGGGTCCGCGATCTGGGTTGGGTGAAGCTTAATAATGCATTTTTGTCACATAGAAATGCACTTGAAAGTAAAGCATTGATTTTGAGCTAGAACGCAGAAAATGCTCTGCTATTAAATTCTGTAAATGAAAAGTATGAAAAAAATCTGCGCCAATTAAGTAAAGAAAAAAAAGTATGTTTATAATTGGGTGCATAGATTAAATTACTAGAAGAAAAATACAAAAAGCCAAGGCAAACAATCCACACACCAAACGAAATGCAAAGTTCAAGGTCCTTAGAACAGGAGTTTATTCCTGAAGATTTACATGGAGGTGACAACAAAAACTGAAGTACACAAACAAAAAAGTAACTGTGCACACAAATACAAAAAAGCAAATGTTTCAGTCCTGGTTAACAAACATTTAAGGAGATCAAGGCACAAAACAGAGAACAGATGATCAAACTGAACCAGCTGGACAATTAATTGAAGATGCAATAGGTAATTAACAATCACTGCCAAAATGGGTGGGTTTAACTGAAAAAAAAAAAAAACTATGATGGACAGAAAAAACCTCTAAAGAAAGCCAGAAAGATTTAAAATTTCATTAAGACCAAAAGGTTGCTCAGTTTTAACTTGAAAAATCCAATGACTTTCACATTGTAGTAATCTTTGGGCCGTCCATTCATAGACATATCAATCTGCATGTACCAAACGATCTCTAATAGTCTGTCCTCTGGAATAATCAAAAAGAGGTAAATCGTTAAAAAAAGGTTTTTAAGCCTTGACAATTTAAACATTCAAACACAAGATGCGGAAAAACTCGACTGAGTACTCGCGCGCCGTGTTCGGTGCGCACACAGAGAGTCGAGTCTCACGGACAGCAACACCGAACCGAGCTCTCCTTCGAGAACAAATGCAAACAAACAAATACAACTCGCAGTTTAAACATGCAAAAAGATGTGAAAGAGCCCAATTCAGCACCCGCGCGCGGTGTTCTGTGCGCACAAGGCGTACACAGAGAGACGCGTCTCAAAGCTCTTGAACACCAAATTTGCCTCTTCTTGCTCTTGTACCGACGAATACATACAAAATTATGTCAAAATACCCGTCTTGGAGAGTATCCTCGAAAAAACTGTCGGTTCTGTCTTAAGTGAAAGTAAACAGTGGAGAAAGAAATCTGATGTGTATCATTATAATGGATGCATTGTCTCTTAAAGTGACCGTGCCTAATTTACTAGCTGCTGTAATGTTAATCCAAGAAAGTGAAAGAAAGAAAATTACTTTGTAGTTTTAACAAGAATTAATCCACAGTCAAACCAAAAATTATTCAGAGAGCAGATATAATTTTTGATATTTTTTTACTAGTGGGTGCAGAACACTATAGTTAATTTATGTAAGTGAGGACAGCAAAATAAAGTAAACTGTGACATATTATACCCAAAAATGCTTCATACAGTGGACTACCAGTAAAATTGATAAAACAAAATTGGGACCAAAAATTATTCCGACACTTTGACCTGACCATGTTTTGCTTGTGTTTTTTCTTTAATTGCTAATGCGACCATTTTAACTCTGAGTTCTTGTCATATTTTCTTACCATTTTCTAAACGATTTTATAAACTGATAATGTGCGAAATGTTGAGGGG